CACCATTCTATCACCCACCAAAAGTGTTCCCGTCCTGCCATGTATATCACTTCTTGGAACTGTCGTCCTATCTTTTCTGCGACGCTCGCTATGAATTTCGTGACAGACAGACAGACGCACACACACACACACACACACACACACACACACACACACTTACAGACATACTTAGCGGATTATATATAGTAGGATACACTGAAAGGTGCATTCCATGCTGGAGCAGAGCCAAATGCACACGTACACCCTTAGGCAGCGTTTTGACTTCGCCACGGCAGCGCTTCGGTCGCGCGTTCGACGCGATCGATGCGCATGCTTTCGACTGCATCGATCGCGTCGAACGCGCTACCATCGCGAAGTCTGAACGCTGCCTTACCCCATTGATGAGCTTCTCGTTTCAAGATGGCAAAGAGGAGTAGCGCAACAATGAGACAAACCACCGCGCGCACGTGTCATGTGTGCGTTTGAGGTCAGAATCTACCAGTTTCGTGTAGTAAACTCCGCAGTATCCTTGTAGCAGGGGACAAAAGGCCGTGTGCGCCTATGTTCCACTAATAGCGCTCGCCAAGCCATCCACATTTTCTCAACTAAGAGAGTAAAGAGTAGTAAGAGCAATTTAATCGACCAGCATAGCGTGAAGGACATACCTGTTGAGAGAGTTCATCGTCCTGACCGGCAACAGCAATCCTCAGCTGAATTGATGTACCCGCAAACAATGTGTAGACGGTAAATGAAGCCATACCGAGCAGGGTGAGGACGAAAAGGACCTGAAACCATAATGAGCTAGATTGGATGCATCCCGGAAATTCGGGACTATTCAGCTATAAATCGTAACACAGAGAAGGCGCTTGCTTGGGGAATTACATAGTGAGAAACCTGAGTCGCTTGAAGAAGATGTAATGGACAAAGGTCAGACCATTGAAGGTTAATAAGTTTTGTTTGGCAAAAACAAATATAATTTGATTTTAGACAGGATTTGCGCCTAATTCCAACAGTTCTTCTTTCTCAGCTTCCGTTTTCCGGTCATTCTTCATTGCCACTTATGAACAGACCACAACCGCTCCATACAGGCGTGTTAACTTCTTATAGGAAAGTGGTAGCTATTTGATTGGTCATTCACGAATGGAACATGTTCTGTGACTGGAATCTTCACGAACGAATGGACTACTTGTAATTTTTCCATTTGGGGGACTTCTTCAATTTTCCGCATTCCTATTTGAAAAAGGGCCATACTCTCACACACAGATATGTACAGATATGGATACAGATATGGGTAGGTGCGTCTACACGCAGATTTCAAGCTGATGATGAAACTCAGGGAGTAGAATCCAACACAATTCTGCATCTTTTCTTCTGCATTTCTTTGTATCTTGCCTTTGGAGATTTACGAATTTCATGCCTTCGAATCTCAAGTCTTTCTGAAGAGCGGAGGTGAAGCAGTGAAATTGGCTTCGACGTAAGGTAAACTACAGACTCGCACTTGAGCATCCGGCGTGGGTCCCGGCACGATTACCCTGAAGATGCTGCGCGCGCTCATACGGTCGCACAACCGCGAAGTATGAAAGCGGTCGTATTTTGCATAATCGAAGATCAGGCGCGCACCTGACGAAGCTCAAAGGAAGCAAAACAGATGTTTCAATTTGAATCGCTTTACATGACTTGCACAGTGCTCGTTGTTATAATGTATACATCACCCATTCAAGAGCGAAAACCCTTTTGGTCTCCATTGTGTGTAATCTTTTTTTCAGATGTCAATCACTGTAAGGAATGTAGAAAGTCTCGCCGTACTCAACCAACTTGATGGGTCACATCCAAAAGCTGGCCACAGTGCTTCACCAGAACGGTTCCACTGATACAACCGGGAATTATTTGAAACAACCAGATCCATTTCCCTGTCGCCGTTTCCCCAGATAGGGTACTCTGTGAGAAGCGTTGCGTATAAAGGTGCCGTTTGCTTCGCATTGCTGAAGGAGCACTGTATAACTCACAAAATGCCACATTCTAATAAGGCATGTAATTGCAGGACCCGCAAAATGAACGTGCAAAATTGATTGAATTGCTACGCATTGATGAAGTGTAGCCAGAAGCTGTTTCCAACTGCTCTCTTGAAGAAGCCATTTCGAGCGCAGAATGCTTAAAGTTAAGGAAGCGGGTACACTTTAGAGGAAATGTCCCCATATTGATGGGCGAGGCGCCTAAACATGATAAGGAGACGTTTGTTCCTCCTTACTCGACTTTACCTCCAGTTCAACGGAAATTTAGTGGGAGACGCACGATAAATAGAAACCAAATAAAAAAAATCAAAACATTATTGTACAAGATTCGATGCTTTTGTGAGTATAGTGTGGTGATATTCCCATGTTGAGTTCATAGTAGTCAACTTAAGATGCTACTCGCTGGTCGCGGTGGTTGATTATGATGCTCTAGCGCCGAAACCGCGCCGCGACCGCGCGCTCGCAAAGGCCGGATGCTCAAGTGCGAGTCTGTAGTTTACCGTCACCCGTGGCTTCGATGTGACACTTAGGCAGTGTTCCAGACTTCCCGACGGCAGTGCTTTGGTCGCGCGTTCGACGCGATTGATGCAGTCGAAAGCATGCGCATCGATCGCGCCGAACGCGTGACTGAAGCGCTGTCGTCGCAAAAAGCCTTTGACGGCTATCTAAAATGGTTGGAATTTCGCTCATCTTGATTTGATGCTGTAGAACGCAAACAATGAGCTTTCATTGCTCAGAGGTAGGATAGCTAGCATCATAAAGTCAGGTTCCTCTACATAGATAAAACAGCTAAGTCGAGCATTGACAGACCCAGTCAAGTCGTTATGTGGGTCGCATACACTTTCGAGTACCTCCGCGGAAGAGAAAGGTGGAGCATCACGAGAATGGAAGTGAGCAACTCGAAGTGGATTACTCGTTCTTTCGAATTTCAGGTAGAAGTATCGTGACTCTTTCCTCGTTATTTTCCACTTTTAAGACGCTTCGTTTTAATAGTGCACAGATGTCATCCTGTTTAACTGTGCGGGATGAGGGGTGGGGGGGGGGGGGGGGGGAAGAGATTTCGACCTGTTAGTGAGCGTTATCCTCAACCTTTTCTCATATCCACATCAATAACAATTATTAAGGTTGTTATGATGGAGCGACTAAGTCGCCACTGTAGAATACGTGAAAAAGCTCTTCTCATCGTACAGTGAGACGATGACTTACAAGGGAACCCCAACAGGTCGATCCGGCCATTTACAATGAGATGTATACGTATGGACGTGTCTTGAGCCGCTGAATCCGAATCTGCCCTCCGATTTTGCGGAACGATTCTCTGAAGGGAGTTACGGACCATTTAATCTTTGCTGTGTTTGCACAAGCTGACCAGGAAAGGCCAACACGTCAGCCCGGCCATTTGCAACGAAATGTACATCATTGTACTCACCTTGCCACGATGAACACAAGACTATCTTTAAAATTTGCGGAACGATTCTCTGAGCGGAGTTGTGAGGTTTTTCTTTATTGCTTTTCTTCTTCCGGGCGCGCCAGCGCCAAAGCGTTAGCACCTGTAGCGCAACTCACAGCGCTCTTCGCGCAAAACAGGTATCATATTCGTGTTCAGGGGGTCAAATAACCCCTAGAGACGTCACCCCAGCGGAATCCGAGGTTCTAACTCATTTTCGAGAAAATGGGTTATGAATAGCTGTGGCTGACTGATAGCCAAAGCGATACTACGACTACCATACTGATGATGACTGGTTTTCCAACTGAAATACCTCTTCATGTGCCTTTTCGCAAAGACATTACCCGGCTTACTTATTCTTGCCGTTCTGCATCATTGTCCTCTTTACCACGAGGGAGTTCCATCTCAAGACCATTCATTGATGGCAGGTGAGCTCCCTCTGCTTCTGATTACCCATGAAACAGCACACATTTTCCAAGTTCGGTCGAAATATCAGATTCGGCTAGAAACCAGGGGTAGTTTGACTCGCTGAACATGAATATGATGGTATTTCACTGCAAAAACCCTTGTGACATGTGGTTATCCTCATAATAAAAGTTTTCAAGAGGAACCCTACATGGGGAATCGCCCGCCTTTCGTTGGCAACTAATCAAGAAATTAGGCGAAATGGCCAAATAGAAATTTCCGGAGGGACCTAGCAGGTGTTCCCTTGTTAGTCGAAACGTCGGACAGTAAAAGCTCCATCATAAGACCTTGTAAGGCATAAAAAAAAACACAGACATACTTTTAATGCCAAGGTGCTAAGAAGACCGAACTCGGTGTGTATAAAAGTACACTTGCCTGCATAAGCATGTGGGGTACCAGCAGAACAGGTATATGCCGGAAGATGCCGAGAAACAGCAGCACTACAGCTACACATGCGACTAGTATTGCGAGTGTGTACACGATGGCCGAAGGAGCATGATGAGATGAAGACGAGGAGAACACGTGTGATATGGCAACAACACCCTGAAAGAGAAAAATTTATTAAAGAGTGTTATGGGCAACGAACACCCTGAAAGAGAAAATTTATTATATGGGTTGCAAAAGCGAGTTCTCAAGGAAGTTCGACCACTCAGACACCCATATTAGCGGCAGCAAGCAACACAAGAATAAAAAATTTCCCGACTGCAAGCTCTTAGAAACTTCAGCAATTACCAAGAATTTTGGCAAATAATGTCTTCTTACTCTCCACATCCCAGCGATGGAGTAGGCGTCTCTGCGTACTTTTTCTCGAACACGACGCAAAATGCATTGTTCGTAGGATATTTCAATGTGATACAAGTGTGACCCTATCAGTGTTCGAAATGTCAATATCGCTTCAAAAGTCGGGGGAGGGGGAGCTGCCGCTACGTTTGAATGAATACGCAGCCACGAACTCCCCATCCTGAAATATGGAGCGAATATAGGATACAATGGGCGGAGTTGGCGTGTTGGCAAGTGACCCGCCCCCACACCATGCGTGTGATCCCGGGGCCAAATTCATAAACCGGTTCCCCTCCGGGAGTGCTAATCCTTTTATTCCTTCAAACTCGACTATGTGGTACCATATCTGCCTGGGAGGATGAAAAAGATTTTTGCACCGCCTAGCCCTCGCAAGCTTGCATACGTTCAAAGTGTCACTGCGGTTCCGAGTAGGAGTTGAATACGGCGCTGTTTGGCGAGGGACAGGGGGAGCATTTTGCACTTTAACGACTTCCCATCGACGTGTCGACCCATCTAGACAGCCTCTTCTCGAGTTGACAGGTTTTACCATGATGGCTTGACGAGCTTGCTCCAGCTTCACAAGAGTTCACAGGTTTCACCAGAGTGAGACTTGTAAACCAGAACTAGTGAAGCAACGAAAAAGCAAAATGCCCCCGTCGGCGAACTGCGCTGTTGAGTACATTTAGCATATAGAAGAAAGTTCGGTCAACGGCGAAATTTGTATGCTTTTTTATTTTAAAAGATGAAAGTGACTAGTTGATATGAAAGGTGCTTCCTAAACTGGTAGGTAGGCTGCTTCAATTGCTGTATTTGCTTGTGACGTACTTTCTGTTACTATCTTTTCTCAGCTTCCCTTTCTATTTTGCTTCGCACGCATAAATGTCACTATCCATCCTTCATTTGAGTGAAAGATGGATAGTGACAAGCGCTGCCGTAACCATGCGCATGTTTCAGCGATCAAATTCCAGGTCGGATAGCGCTCAAGCCAAACAAGTCTTTTAACCCACCGGAATTGGCAAATAGGTATCTGATTCTTCGGAAAGATAAATTAGTAAATAACACAGCTGGCTGGTTTTCGCAATTCATTGTATCGCCCTAGGACATTTTTGAATGAACGATTAAATTCGAGTTTATGGCACACAGCAAAATTAAATAGTTCAATGCATAATTTTCCATCCACTCGTTCGTATTAGTACCTCTCAGGACCCGAAAAGTCCCGAGAAGAGAAAAAAAACCTGCTTCAAGAAAAAAATGGAAACACGCCCTCTCTTAGTCTGTGGGGTAAGAACCAGAGCACATCATTCAGTAAGACTTCTCCCACGAAGAGGTCGCGCTTTCGCTGCTCACGGAA